TTCAGAGCATTTCTCTGGTACATCCAGAGTCTTTTGAATATCAGACTGTCTTTCTAATGGGCAAAAATTAGTTTAATCAGTAGTCATCCGCAAGGGTGATCTCTGTGGGAGGAGATTATGAACTGTCAAGTGTCAGTCAAAATCTGTTTCGCCAAGCTCTGAAACCAAAATAAACAACCATGTGTATGTGGGTCAGGGACAAGGGAATTGCACACCAAAACTTTATCCATTCAGAGAATCACATGGTATTGCTGGTCAAACATGTATAAAGTAGGAGCTAGCAGCCAATACAGGCTGGAGACACACTTTTGGTGGGGGTTGGGTAGAAGAGGACACTACATGCAAAGGGGTATATATACCATGAAGAGACAGCAATCTGTTGGTAAGCCACAACACAGCATGTACACCCTGTGAAAAGACAGTGTCCCGTGAGCTACTCATGCTGCAGCATGGACACGTGGGAATGGACCCAAGTGATCTATATGCCTTCTTGGATCAGGCACATTACGAACAGAGTGCTCCTGCCTGATAAACTGGCACAAAAACAATAAGCCTAGGGTGGAAGAAAGAAACTGCTGTGCATAAAATAACAGAAAATGGTTACGCATACAACTTCAACCTCCTATGCTGCCAACATTTTGTTGGCAGGTTAAATGTAATCCACAGCTAAAATATAGAAAGTTGAGACCAGATAGTGGTCAGGGAGAAACAGTCAAGTAAATTTCCCTGCCTTGAGACAGTTTTGCCTGTGATGGTAATTGGGCACTGTTATGATCTGTCATAGAATCATAGAATTGTTTGGGCCAGAAGGGACTTTAAAGATCACCTAGTTCCAACCCCCTGCCATGGGCAGGGACCCCTTCCCCCAGCCCAGGGTGCTCCCAGCCCCGTCCAATCTGGCCTTGAACCCTTCCAGGGAAGGGGCAGCCACAGCTTCTCTGGGCTACCTGTGCGAGCATCTCATCACCATCACAGTGAAGAATTTCTTCCTTATATCTAACCTAAATCTACCCTCTGTCAGTTTAAAACCATTACCCCTCATCCTACCACTACAGTCCCTGATAAAGGGTCTCTCCCCATCTTTCCTGTAACCCCCTTTAAGCACTGGAAAGCCGCTATAAGGTCTCCCCCGAGCCTTCTCTTCTTCAGGCTGAACATCCCCAACTCTTTCAGCCTGTTGTCCTAAGAGAGGTGCTCCAACCCCCCGCCATTCCAGGGAGTGCAAACCTTTTCCCATTAACTTAAAAATAATAAACAAGAAAAATGCGAGTCTCTCCTGAGTCAGTGATTTAGTGGTAGCAGGTGAGGTACCCGGTGCTTTCTTTGTTTTGATCTTCACTGGCAATGCCTTCAAGAGACAGAGCCTCAAAAAGAAAAGGAACTACCAATAGCATGAAAAAATAAAGAGTCTTTTGAGAAATCTCAACCCATTCAAGAACATGAGATCCAGGGGGGCAGATCTGATGGTGCAGGGATGGCTGGCTGATGCCACTTGGAGGTCTGTGAGGCCTCTCCATCATCAAGATGGCTGGAGAGTGGCAAATGTTGCACTCATCTTCAAAAGGGCAAAAACTGTCTGGGAACTACAGGCTGGTCAACCTTTAGTCTGGGGGAAAACCATGGAGAAAGCCCTCTTGTAAGTTCTTTCTGGAGGGAAAAGATAATACTTGGGAATAGTCAACATGGATTTTCCAACAATAAATCATGTCCAACCAGAAAAAATTATCTTCTATAATGTAATGATGAGAGCTGTGAATGAAGAGAGAGCTGTGGATATAAGCTGCCTGACTTTAGCAAGGCTTTCAACACAGTCTCTAATAAGGATAATAAGTATATATTTAATAATAAGGATAATAATACATTCTAGTATATTATTATATTAATATATGTTGTATTATATTTATATTACTATATTGTATAAGGTAATGTTTTTATAGTATATTGTATTATATTATGATATAATATACTAATAATATATAATAATATAAGGATAATAAGTATATATATAATAAGGATAATAAGTATAAGCAGCTGTGGCCTCCAGCCACTGGAGCCCATGGCATGAAGTCTCTGCCCAGACTGAGTCATGCAGCTCCTGTTTTCCCATCAGTAGGTCTGACCAGTAGCAAATTTAAGCACGTATCCCAGAGAGATACACACACGCACACGCACCAGCAAAGACACCCACACATACACAGAGGCACAAGCAGGACACTGACATGGCCAGTCACACAGACTGCCACAGACAAGGCAGTGCCTTCAGCAGCATCCTCACACAGGTCCCACATCACACACCAGCACAGACAGCCACATCCCCTCTGCTGGGCTTGGTAGAGACAGGTCACTAGTGCAGACACACAGATGACACTCAGGGTTCACAAGAATATGCACATTTGTGGGTCTTCCAAGCATCAGCATGTTCCCCCTGTCCAGCTGGTATCCCTGCCTGGATCCCATCCCTCAGACCCACTTCATGGGTCTCCTACTTGCTGTCTGGTCTGACTTGATGCAGCAGACATGAAGCACACACACTGGTCCCAAGGGCACCCCACTGAGGAGATTGACGTCACGGGCTCCAATGTTAAGATCGAAGACCCTTTATTATTCAGAAAGCTGCATTTTTACCCCCCTACAAAATTGTCAATCCCCCCAACATAAGTGCTTATTGGTTAACATACATTACTCACACACCTATTCTAACATTTGATTGGCTAGCTTAACTATGCATGTCTTTTTTTTCCTTTGTCACAATAACTTTTTTGCTCTGGGCGTTCTTCTAAAGTCCTCTGTTGTTCACTGATAACATTCTTATTTTTCTGTTATTCCCAAACCTTATTTTTCTGTTATTCCAAAACCTTCAAGGTCTGTTGTTACCTTATTTTTCTGTTATTCAAAGCCCTTATTTTTCTGTTATTCAAAAGCCTTCAAGAGCATTATGTCCTTCATTGATGTAAAATGTCTCCACACGCCACACTTGTGGCTTTTTCATCAGTTTCAAAGTCCAGGTTGACTGTCTCTGAAGTGATGTCTACAGTTTCTTGACAGCCCATCAATTAGTATGATTGATTAGCTTTGTTCCTTGTTGTCTGTCTCAGTGTCTCCATCACTATTTGGTTATGTCTCTGAATGTTTTGTTTGCTTTCTCCTTTTCTTTATAATCCTAGATAATGTTGAAGGAGCAGGTGGTCTCTCCTTCCCCATATTGTTACAGTTTCCTCAGCATCCTTGTATCTAGTTTTGGATATTATGGTCTGAACGGGTGGTTGGGGGAAAAACTGGACGGATGATCCTTGGATTCAAAGGGAAATGATGAATTGTTTGTCATCTACCTGGAAACTGTGGCAGGATTTGCTCAGGAGGTCTATTCTTGTATCTGTCCTGTTTATTATCTTTATCAAAGAGCTGGAGGAGGAAACAGAAAATAATCTCATACAATTTATAGAGAACATCAATGTGAAGGGATGGCACTGTCCATCACTGGCACTGATTGACAGTCAGTATACTCAAGTGCAAGGGAGGCCATTCAGAAGAATCTAGACATGATAGCGGAACCTCATGAAACTGAGAAACCTCATGAATCTGATAAAGGATAAATGCAAACTATTGCACCATGGATAGATTAATCACCTGCATCAGTACAGGAAGGGCAACTGGCTGCTTAGGTAGCAGCACTACTGAAAAATGATGGAGGCCGTCAGCATCCTGAGCCTTATCAGTAGGACTGTAGACAGTAGGTTAAGGTAAGTGTTTATTCTGCTTTAACTCAGCAACTGTTAGACCATATCTGGAATATTGCTTCCAGTCTAGAGCTTCCCACTACAAGAAAAATGTTGATAGTCTGGAGTGATTCCAGTGGAAATCCAGGAAGGTAGTTGGAGGCTGGAGCACAGGACAATTGAGGAGATGCTAAGGGAACGGGGTTTGTTCAGTTCTAAAAGAGAAATCTTATGTCATGTTTGATTAGGCAAAACAAGAAATATCTTCACCAAGAGGCTGTTCAAACACTAGAACAAGGGCCCAGAGAAGCTGTGGGACAGCACCCTTTGAGACATTTAAAATTCAACTGGACAAGGCCCTAACTGAACTATCTTTGAGAAGGAGGTTGAACTAGAAATCACCAGAGATCTCTTCCAAGTTGAAAGGTCCTGAGCACAGCTAAAAGAGGCAGCTGTCAGATGCAGGAGTTTGCACAGCAGTTTCTGGGCTCTGCTTCTTTGAGATCTCCTTGATATATTCTCAAACTTCTGCAAACTTTGTCTGGGATTGTCAGCAGACTCCTAGGAACACCTTGAGGAACTTAGAGGGTGCCTGCTGCTGTCAGTTAAGGATAAGGATAGCCACAGGAGTCCTTAACTTCTGGCAAGATTCTAGTAAGCTCTATCAGCTTCTAATGACCTTTGTCAGCTACCCTTGATCAAAGGATCCATATGGGATGGAGTTAGAATGTTACTTCATAGCAGCACATATGGTACTATGTTTTGCATTTATGGCTAAAACAGTGCGGATAACACACCAGTGATTTAGTCATTGCTGAACAGTGGTCATACAGCATCAAGTTTTTCTCTCTTCCACCACACCCAAAAGCCAGAAGTCTAGGGGGTGGTCAAAGGATGGGAGGGGACACATCTGGGACAGCTGACCCAAACTGTCCAAAGGGATATTGTATACCATATAATGTCATGCTCAGCAATAAAAGCTCATGGAAAAGAAGAGGGTTATGGTATTTGTCTTCCCAAACAAATACATGTGCTGAGGTCCTGTTTTGCAGGCAGTGGCTGGACACCTGCCTGCCAATGGGAAGTAGTGACTGACTTTATCTTTTTGCTTTGCCAAAGCACACAGCTTTTGTTTTCCTTATTAAGCTGTCGTTATTACATCCATAAGTCTTTTTGTCTTCCTTCTATTTTCTCACCATGCCATGGAAGACGGGAGTGAGCAAGAGTTACAGTGGGTATTTAACAGCTGACCAGGGTCCACTCACCACAGAGTGGAACCTCCAGTAATCAACTGGTTGGGGAAGACACACAGGAATATGACCTGAGTCAGCCACTGCCTGGGTGGAAAAGTGTGTGGGAGAATTCAGACAGGTGTCTAGACCAGTTTTCACTTCCAATGGCCTAAGAGTTGATGCCTGAACAGACATGTAATCTTGCCTTAACGTCAGATCATCTGAAAGATGGATGCCTTTTTAATACCAAAAAGAGACAGGACTTCTCATGATGAAAGGTAGAAGTTCTCTTCCTTCTGAAGACTGATTTTGCCATAAAACAGAGCAAGATCAAAGGACCTGCACAAGAGAGACAGTTTCTGAGAATGAAATGGCAAAATGGATATTGTCACATCCCAGTGAATGTGTTCAGTAAGAAAACATCCACATCACCACCAGCTAGCAAAAAAAGAAACATAAGCTTTTCTGGGCATTGTGAACTTCTGGAGAATGTATATTCCCTCTTGCAGTGAGTTTGTGAGTCCTCTCTACTGAGTGACCTGAAAGAACAACTCTTTCAACTGGGACCCTAAGCTGCAATGTGCCTTTGAATAGATCAAACAAGAGATAGTTCTTGCATCAGAGCTGTGCAGAGTGTACTCTACATGACACCTGGGGAGCATGGTCTCACCTGGAGCCTTTGGCAAAAAACATTCAGAAGGACCCAGGTTGGACCTCTAGGGTTTTATAGCTCGGGATATAGAAGAAGTTGCTCCACCCTGAATGAAAAGGAAATACTTACAGCATATGAGGGAGTTTGAGCTGCTTCAGAGGTTAGCGTGGATTTATGAAGGGGAAATCATGCATAACTAACCTGACAGTCTTCCACAATGAGATGACTGGCTTGATGAATGCAAAGAGACTTCAGTAAGGCTTTTCACACTTTGTCCTGTAACATCCTAATAGACAAGCTGACAAAGTATGGACTAGGTAACTGGACAGTGGAGTGGATTGGAAACTTGCTGAACTGCTGTGCTCAGAGGACTGTGATCAGGGTCTCAAAGTCCAGCTGCAGGCCAGCCATTAGTGAAGTACTCCAAGAGTCAATATTAGGTACAGTAGTACTATTTAATGTCTTCGTTAATGGTCTGGATTATAGGATAGAGTGCATCCTCACCAAGTTTGCAGATGATACAAAATCTGGGAGAAGTGTTGGTAGACCAGATGGGTATGCTGTCATTCAAGGAGACCTCAAGAGGCTGGAGAAATTGACAGAGGAACTTCATGAAGTTCAGCAAAGGGCAATGCCAAGTCCTGCACTTGGAATAACCCCATGACCTAGTACAGGTTGGGTACCAACTGGCTTCAGAGAAGGATCCTGGGGTTTTTGTGGCTTAGTAAGTTTCACCAGATTCAGTTGCCCAGGATTTTGTCCAGTCATGTTTCTGTCTTTTCTGCACTGCAGCTCAGCTTTAGCATGATGTCTAGAGAACATCATACTCCCATCTCTCACCTGTACACTATACCATAACAGGAAGCGCACTACAAGTTTCATTCCCTTCAGCTTGAAAATGTTGAGAACTCATCTTTCTTACAGTATTGACTGTTTCCCAAGTGCTACTTAAATAAGATCATGACTCTCTCTGCTTCTAATGTCTAATTGTGCTTTTAACAACTGCATTTTCTATAGCTTTTTTCTGTAAATCTTTTTTATGTGTTTCTGTCATATTATATGGATGTTGTTCAGGCTGGCTGTTCCATGGCCTTTTTAATAGGGTATATCACTGGAGAGAAAAGGACACGGTATTCTATTAGACACTGATCCTAAATTAGGAATTTAAAGTAGAACAGATGATCTATTCTCAAGAAGTACCTATTTATCTTCATTATCTAGAGAAAAAGGATAACTAGTGAAAATGCAGATTCTTTACTGCATTTTTCTAAAATTAGGAGTGTTGCAAAGGTGCAGAAGGACTTGAATGAGAGAGGGCAGTATGAGAGATGAGGGGAGCAGGGAACAGTCTCCTCCACAGATGTCACTCAGGGCAGGAGGAACATCACAAAGATTCATTTGGCCTACTCCTCCTGGGACAAATGATGGTGTAACAGCAGATAAGTCATCCCTTTACCAACTGAGAAGGGAAAGGGCAACATATTTCCACTGAGCACAGTCCAAGACCAACACCCAGCACACTGCAGCCACCTCTGTCACTAACCCAAGTATGCAAGTTCTCAACATGATCTGAGCTACAAGTTCTGCCACACGCACTTACACACAGGAATACATTTACATGCATGCACAAACTATGCACACTCAGAGGCCACTGAGGATCTTGTTCTGAGATCTTCTTCTTCATCGGGGTTGATCTGTGGAGCTTCTCAGTCCTCAGGATGTCCTGACAGAAGGTTGGCACTGGAGATGACTGAGAGTGTCCATATAAGATGGTGGTTGTACTCTCTGGACTGCAAAAGAAGGCAGTTCATAGAACTGCATTCATGCTTGTCTCTAGTATTTTCCCCTGAAAGGCAACAGGCAAAACTCAGTGGAGACAACTACCATGGGAGGTTTTTTTCTCGCTCATTATGATAATTTTTAAATTTAATCAAATTCACCAAATAACACATTTTTCTCCCACTCACTCTTGAAAGAGTACATAATGAATCTTGATCTCTGGATTCCCTGAAAGAGATGTCTGTGTGCTGTAGTAAAACATGAGACAGAAGAACCTTAGGAAATCTGGCCTAGGTTCTCTGCATTAGCAGGTGAAATGACACATACAGGACGATGACACACTTTCAAACAGGCACTTATGGACCTAGAGCATTCATTGATCATGTAGGAGACTGCAGTCAGTTTCCTACTCTCTCAGACAAAACTAGATCTGATTTCCTCCCCACTTCCAAATGACAGAAGATAAATGACTCCAAAGTCCTTGAGTCATTTATCTGCAAGTGCTTGTATGACGCTCTCAGGTACATCTCCAAAAAAATTTTATTCATAACATAAAGAACTAGTAACAGAGAGATGCAAAATACAAATGACTCTATGGCCCAGGTGACAAGATACATGTCCAAGACACATTGCCATTCCTGCTACAGTGACTGTATTGTATGAAAAATTAACTTTTTTTTCTTGGAAACAAAGGTTGAAACCGCATTTTCCACCAGATGATGCAAGGAGGTATATCACAAACACCGAAGTGGTAAGATTCATATATACTCATATTGGACAGAAGAAACAGAAAATCTATACATGGAATTTGAGATACATCTATTTTCCAGCTGTTCCAACACAGGGTGTTTAAAAACAGTCAAGCATAAAAGAAACAAAAAATCTAAATATACACAGGAGAAGAAAGATTCTTTCAAGCAGAATAAGTTTATCTCTTCCACAGCTCAGTTATAATTTTGATTAGTATTCCTTTCACTTCTTTGTTTCTCAGACTGTAAATCAGGGGGTTTAATGAGGGAATTATGGTCGTGTAGATGAGAGCTAGAACTTTCTTAGTGTCTTGTGAATTACTGTATTTTGGCCGTAAGTAAACCAGGGTCCCACTCGCATAATACAGTAATACAACAGTAAGGTGTGAGGAACAGGTGGAAAAGGTCTTGTATCTGCCATCTGTAGAGGAAATCTTGAGGATGCTGGAGATGATGCAGACATAGGATACCAGGATGAGACAAAATGGTGTAAAGATGACCAGCACCATGGCCGTAATGATCTGCTTTTCATACAAAGATGTGTCAGCGCAGGAGAGCATAATGAGGGGGGGAATATCACAGAAGAAGTAGTTAATCTTCTTGGGCCCACAAAATGGCAATTTGAACACCCAAACTGTCTGCACCACAGACACAACATTACCACTGCAGCATGACAGCAGGACCAAGGAATGGCAAACTCTGCTGTTCATGATGGTTGAATATCTAAGGGGGTCACATATGGCCACGTAACGGTCATAAGCCATGACTGCCAAAAGGTAGCATTCTGTAGCTCCTAAGAAAATCACACAGTAGAGCTGTGTGGCACAGCCCATGTAGGAAATGCTCCTGTCCTCTGACAGGAAGTTTACCAGCATCTTGGGGACAACGATCGATGCTGTGGAAATGTCCAAGACGGACAGGACCCAGAGGAAGAAATACATGGGCATGCGGAGGGTGGGGTGCACTGTGACCATGATGATGGTAAGGTTCCCAATGATGGTGATGGTGTAAATTAAGCAGAATGTGAAGAACAGCAAGTGCTGCAGTTCTGGGTTCTTGGACATTCCAGAAAGGACAAACTCAGCCAGCAGAGTGTGGTTTCCTGGTTCTGGTCTCTCTGCTGGCTTCACCTGGGAGAAATCAAATGGACAGACTGTCAGAGGCGTAGACACTGCACCAAGATCACGGTGCTTCAGCCAGTTACTGAAGCAAGGAGTCTCTTGGGAATCCCTGGAGAGCCACTGGATCAAGGAGTGCAACTCTAGAACTGGCTTAGCTGAACAAAGTAAGACGGCAGTGGCTGTGCCTGCTGAAAGCGCATGATGTTACTGCTCTCCCAGTTCATAGTCTGGGATAGTGGCCAGGCATACAGCTATGAGGAGTTGGTATTAAGGGGTTGGCTTCGTTATGGGTGTAGGGTTGATTGTGCCCCTCCCAAACATCAGGTCTCTGATCCGCACTGGTTCCATAGGTGCTTCCTGCACTGAAGGGAAAGCCATGCTGACAACCAAAACATCCACAGTCCAAAGAAAGCAAAAGCATTTTGCTACCTTGGGGTGCACTAGGATCCCGGAAACTCAGGGAAAGCACCCCCAAATGGAGCAAGTGGAAGCTGATAAGGGAAGACCTAAGCCAACTCCTGTCACTGGAGGAAAGCCCAGATGGCAACAGAAACAATGACAGACCAAAGAAAACAGAACCAAACTAAACTAAAACAAAACTCTCTATAGACAGGCAAAGGAAGAAAGAATAATTAGAAGGAAAGATACCCACAGAGGACACTAAGAAAGCACCAAAAGTGAAGCTCAGTACTATCTGCTTCATTAGTCACATTGGCTCATTACCCGGTGAGTGTTGCTGCGTGTGATGTCAGTGGGATAGCCATGCAGCGCTGTGCCAGCCATGTTAGCTTTGTCTTTTTCTCACTGCCCCAGATGGGAAACTGGTGCACAGAAAGAAGAAATTAGCCTGCCATGGAGGAGAAAGTGGACATTAATTCTGCGTTCTTCAGACTTGTCATCTCTTACCAAAGGGGCAGCCAACCACTGGACTCCACTGGTAAATCTCAAGGCACAGAATGCATTTTGGCAGCAGAAATGTATGCATATATGGGGATAGAGAGGGGGAAGAAGCTTTCCATGGCCCACACATGGACCTGGTCAACAGACCACAGCACACAGAGAAGGTCATATCATCAAAGCTAGAGCAGTGCTTACAGCCCTATCATGATTCAGTCACTCCTCCTACTGGCTCCATCTACTGGCTCCATCTAAATGCTCTTTCTGCTACAGCTTAACTCACACAATATGCCTTTTGTCTGTGGGTTCTCTAACGTGACCGTGAAAGTGAAAGCTGTGGATCTGGGAGCCACAGATGATTTTAACTTCAGGCACAATAAAGAAACTCCTAACATTCTCAGGCATTTAAAAATTTTATATATTTAAAAGGAATCTTTGTCTTTGACTGTTTCCATTCACATAGAAATGAAAGAACACTGTGTTATTTGAAGCTCCAAATTTTGAAAGATACCTCAATATAACCTGTGCATAACAGAATAGAGAATGATATTAATAATTCCCTGCAGTTGTAATGGCACACACTCATGCTAATTTTAACTTGTTCTGATGTAGAATCTACCTAATTCTGCTCTTTGATCCCTTATGAAAGTTTTAGACTGTTACTTTAGTCCTTAGCTGTTAATTAAAGCTAATAAAATTCAGTAATTATTTTACTGATAGGTTATTGTTTTATTCCTAGTGCAGAACACCTCTCAGAAACAATTCTCACTTTGTGTAATTCTTGTGTAGTGGCTATGAGGACCTTTAAGTTTTGGTCTTAGCTCTTTCTTGGATTTGCTTTATGTATTACAATATGCATTATGACATAAAAGTCCTACCTGCAGTTCTTCCATCCAGTGCATCGAAAATCAATCATGCAAATTCCACTAGAAGAACTTCCTTTGTTTTCTTATATTAGGGACAGCATTGGGCCGATCAATGACTCCTACAGTCACCTTACATTGCAGATTTTAAATTGTATTTCAAATGCAGGTGCCCTCCTGCCACAGCTTGAATAATTTGTGACATTAGCATGTGATATATTCCTTGGAACATTAGGCATGTTTTTTCTGAAGCACCATAAGTGGAATTTACTTGCCCTCCACACAGGTATCATAAATGCCAGTTGCCAAAGACTAACCTCACAGAGAAGAAAAGGAATTTGTTAAAGTTCTTTCAATTTAGTTGAAATAGCAGGAGAATTAGGTAATTTATGGAACACAGAAATTAAACTACATCATGCACATGCATTTTGACTTGCAAGTACATGAGAACCTACATCAGCATCTTCACGCTAGTTCAATCATGAGATTGCTTCTGCATCAAAATTATGTAGTGTCTTTTAATGACAATCACAGGGGCAAAAAAATAAAATTGTTTTCTTCAGAGCTTTCTCTAGTGATTGAGGATATAGAGAGTCTCAAGCTGGGCTTTAGTGCTATCCCAGGTTGCCTTAGAGTCTCAAACCCCTTCAGCATTATTGAATGATGTCAACAGCAGCTCCAGGCTCCAGCAGCCCAGGACCAGGACGCTCCTGCCCAGCCTCGTGACTAGGGACTTGGGATCTTAGGGACGTAGCTGCTGCTATCTCGTTTGCAGGTTCAACCAATAGTAAAATTATGCACATATCCCTGAGATTCACAGGATACAGATAAGCAAAGACACACAGAGACATACACAGAAAATTGACATTGCCAGCTGCACAGGCTGTCACAGCCAATACATACAGGACTCACATCACACACAAGAGCAGACAGCCATGCCCCCTCCTCCTCTGGGGCTGGTAGAGACAGGATGTCACTAGAGCAGGCACGCACATAACATCCCCAAGATTCACAAGCACGTCCACATTTTTGGGTACCTTGAGCACTGGCATGGCCACTCTCTCTGTCCAGTACCCCTGCCCAAATCCTTGACCTCTGACCCACCCCACAGGTCCCTTACTTACCAGCTGGTCCAGTTTGGTGCACCAAACACACAGCACTCACACACTCACCCCACAGGCACCCCACATTTGCAGGTTCTGCCTGAGCACCAGCACAGACTCTCTGCCCACCTGATGCCCTTTCCTGGACCTCCTTCTCACCAGCTGGTTCAGCTTTAAGCTTGCTGTTGAATATGCACAGATACCCCACGCACACCTAGTTTGGGGGAGGTATAGACACTTCTCTCCGCCCCCAGCATCCAGCACAAGGCAAAAGATCTGTGACCCAGCGTCCTGCTCCAGCTGTCAGTGCTGAGCCACTCAATCACCTCACTCACACCAGTCCCCTCATTAACTGGTTTTGGGGACACACACTGTTCTCACCATCGTGTCTGTAGACTGAGAACCTACTGGCTCCAGTAGCTGCACTGGGAAACCCACTGGCTCCTGTAGTTCACACCAGAGGCCAAGGGTGCCCACACCTCCAGTCCGACTTCAGTAACTGGAACCAAAGACACTTATGCTGTTCCCCCCCAGTAGCCAGTACTTGGTCCTTGCAGCACATGGGCACACAGGATAGACTGAGAATACACAGAGAGTTCTAAAAAGATTTAATGAGACAGGACAGACTGCAGTGATCAGGCACAGGGTTCAGTACACCAGCAGTGACCAGCCTCAGTTTACACTCAACTAGCCCCTTTCAGACCCCTTTCCTGTCTATCCCCCTCTCTACTCCTCCTGGCTCCCCTTCACCTGAACATTCCCTTGTCGGCTGGCACAGTCCCACTGACCCCATCCAACATCTTTAATCCTCAGGTTTGCATCCTTACTAGTTGCAAAGTCCCAGTTGCCTGTAGTTCCTTGAGAGCTCATCAGCTGGTGATGTTTATTTCTGGTTATTGTTTCTTAGTGGTAATTGGTCAGGTTTTATGTCTCTGTGGTTTTGACTCCCTCCCTTTTATTATCATTCCAAATTGGCAAGGTCCTTAGTCAGAAACTCTGATTGAAAAATAAACATTCTCACGCTCCACATGAATACTAAACAACTATCCTCTTAACATCTCTCAGTAACAGGAAATCAGTATCATGGTTGTCTCTACTATAAGTCTTATGCTTTTGGCAGTTCTCAGAAGCATGACTTTGGCCTAAATTGTAAACCAGAGTTGGAATTTATTTCCAATTTATTTTCAGGAATGTGACTAACCTAATTTGCACCTGAATGACTTCATATATCTGTGATATAAAATCCTGCCACTGACTGTCCTTAAATGCTTCTTGGAAAATTTGTGGAAAATGTTATGACTTCCATGAGATTAAAAATTTCACTGGTTCGTATTTTATATTTGTAGGGCTACAAGCATATCACAGTTTCCTCATGCTCTAGATTTTGAACTCCGGATTAAAGATAAACAAAATAATTATTTCAGTAAAGTCACTTCTCTGAGCTTTCTTGAAATGCACTTATTACTTCCTCATGCTGAGGGAACTAACCTACTTAACTGCTAAAGATAGGTATTATGAATACCACCTCTATCCATGGTCCTTTCTAAAGGTTTCTTGATATTCTCAGAACTAAGAAATTATGCTTTTAAGACTTCTTTTGAAGACTGGGTTCATTCACCTGCCTTCAGATATCTAAAGTGTAGACACCTGTTTTTGAGTTATTTGTCTATCTTCTATAGGGTGTTTAAGATCATCCTCATGTATATGAGACTAATTATGTGTTAAAATACACTCTTTCTCCCCTTTGACTATTTGGCCCAGATACATGCCTTTTTATTGTAGAATCCTAAATTTACACTTGATTAGTCCCATCCTATTTTGTGGCACAGTGGATATGGTCACAGTGTTTCCCACGTTATTGTTATGACTGTTTTTTGGGAAACAGAGCTGGGGGAAGGGAGCACAACATCAAAATCATTATTTTAATTTTCTCATCAGGAAGTCAGGGGCTTTTTGGAAATTAAATCAGACACAACTGCATAGTTTTGATTGGGTAGATCCATACTGCAAATGCAGTTTGTGGACCCACATTTTGACTAGTTCTCTAGACATAGCTGCCCAATATTTCAGATCAGAATCATCTTCAGGTCTAGGTTTTAACTACACAAAGATCAGAACCAAAGAATAAAGTCACTACACTTAGGTAGGAGGAACAAGTAGAGAAGGCCTAGTGGAATGTCCAACTGGAAACCATTAAAAAGTGGTGTGCCTCAAGAGCCTGTATTGAGACAAATACTATTTAATATCTTCATCGGCAACCTAGACAGTAGGATTGAATGCACCCTTAGCAAGTTTGTGGGACACCAAGCTGAGTGATGCAGTTGATTTGTTAGAGGGAAGGGATAGCATCCAGAGGGATCTTAACAGGCTGGAGGATTGAGCTCATGTGAACGTCATGAACTTCAACAAGGCCGAGTACGAGGTTCTGCACCTGGGTCAGAACAATCTCCACTACTAATATAGACAGAGGGATGAATAGATTGATGGCAGACCTGTGGAAAAGAACTTGGGGATACAGTGACAGAACACAGGGAAACAGTTTTAAACTGAAAGAGGGTAGCTTTAGATTGTATATAAGGAAGAAAGTTTTTATGATGAGGGTGGTGAGAGACTGGAAGAGGTTGCCCAGAGAAGTTGTGGATGCCCCATGCTTGGAAGTGTTCAAACTGATGTTGGATGAGGTTTTGAACAACCTGACCTAGTAAAAGATGTCCCTGCTAATTACAGGAGAGTTGGACTAGATGATGTTTAAAGGTCCCTTCAAACCCAAACTAATCTATGATTCTGCGGTTCTATGATTCTATTATGATTCTATGATTATTGTCTCAATTTTCTCCCAGAATAACATATTGCCATGTATCCTCAGCTAATAGACACTAAGGGAAATTGAGAGGCCTGCAAAGTGATCATTGAAATCTGTGTTTGGACAACACTTTTTCAGTGAGCAGATTCTTGGTCACTAAGAATAGATACATTCCTATTCCCACCTAAAAGGATCATGGTGGGAAGGAACACAGACTGCTGGAGACTCCCAACTAAACTTAGAATATAACAGAAAGGCTTTTATTTTTTATTCTTTTTCTGTGTGATAGTAATATTAACATCGTAGAGAGAACCAATGGAGGGGGTTATTACTTTCTTCAAATGCAAAATGGAATAAGGCTACAATGCCATAATGTTCTTTGGGGTTTTGCACAAAAATTATAGGACTTTGATTGAATCAATGCCTGAAAAAACAAATAACATTGGTCTTACATTTCTATAAAAGACAGAAAGATAGGTACATAGGTAGGTAGGTAAGGAGATGAGAGAGAGAGAGAGATAGGCAGACAGACAGATCCATGAAGAAGATGTTTTTTATATGAACAGGCTTTTTCTCCCTGGGATCTGGTATTTTGAGCAGATGACTATTTGGGTAGACCTTAGAGAAAAGTAGAACGTGGGAAAATTAAGCAAAGTTTAGTATATGTATTTAGGGATATTTTTTCAGAACGCATTGGAAACTCTTATATTGTGGTAGAGAGCAAATGTGTGAACAAGCCAGCTGCAGTGGGTTGGCCCCAGACAGCAACAAAGAACCCACCCAGCCACTCACTCACTCAGTCCCACAAGGGCACGATGTTAATGGTATGTGATATATCCCTTTGGCCATTTTGGGACAGCTGTCCTGGCTGTGTTCCCATGCAGCTCTTGCCCACCGCCGGTAGCAGGGTAAGTTCAAATCCTGAAGGTGGTGGGCTCCACAAAGCAGCCTAACAGGGAATTTGCTGCCTCCAAACATTCATCCAGCTGGACCTCTGCAAGCAGAGAGAAAAACTACATGGGGTGCACAACTCAGTAAGGGAATACAGTGTGTGTACATACAGACTGCCGTATAGGAACACTGGGAAAGAGAAACATGGGTCAACATGTGTCAGCTGTGGATTTGGTGGGAAAGACCCAGAGCAGTGGCTCCCAGAAAATCTTCTTACCAGCTTGGTCCCACAGCCAATTCCAGGTTTTGGCCTCCAGAATCTCTGACCAAGATACCTTCCATTTATACTGATGCAACCACACTAAGTCCAGAACTGTGGCCCAGGGGGCTGTACATCCTGTGGGGGAAAACAGAACAATCAAGGGGAAGAAATAAAAAGAAAGATCAGACCTAAACCATCATGTGGAAAAAGTAAGATCTTCACACATAGACACAAACTCTCTAAGCTTCTGAAATCCTCAAAATTGGAAAGTTCCCAGGTACCTCTGCTGATTCCACTCCACACCCTCCAGACCACCTATCCGCAGGCAGAGAGGCTCTATATCCTCACTGATTTGATCTCTTCCTCTCAGTTCAGCTCAGACAGGGAACTTGGAGCAGAGGAAGGTTCAGCTCATGACAATGCCCCACTCCAGCCCTTGAACTGCTTACCTCATCTGGCCTTGCTGAGCCCCAAGGCAGAAGACAGGGCTGCTGTGAGGGCTCAGGAGCCAGTTGCTTTCTGGAGCACCACCACTACCCCGAGCCTGGAGAAAGTCACACAGCCTTGTTGACAGTGGTGAAATTGTCCAGTCCCAACTGATGTTAAATGCTGGCAGTTCTTCCATCAGTTGCTCTTCAGGATAAGGCTCCCGCTCTGGAAGACAGAAACATTCACATTCACATAGCTCGTATGAGATAAGCAACAGCTAGTAACCTTAAATTCTGCCTTCTCCAGGTGCCAGGTGTACTTAACTGTCCTCCATCCTCTCTGGACTTTCCCAGTTTTTCCAGTCCTCCTCAAGCAACCTGAACTTTTTCCAGACATCCCAGAGCATCCTCGGATCTTCCTAGTCCCCGATAAGTATCCTAAATTCTGTTCTACATGCTCTAGTTTACCCTGCATAATTCTCTCTGAATACCCTTAATTCTATCCATGAGTATCACTGATGTTACTCTTCCCTGACACTTTATGGTTCATGTTCACTGTTGAGGGCCACACAGGGGTCCTTCTCCATCATTCACTCTTAAACCCTCCAGCCTTCAGCATGAGCTCTTCCTTTCCACATTCCAAGACATAAGACTTCTTTGGAGCTACAACAGCACTGGATCACAAGAGAATCAAGGTGAGGAGGGTCCAACACAACACATTGGCATTATAGTCCCAGGCATGGAACAGTTCTGGAGCAGACTTAAGAGCTTTTATGGACAGAAAAAGAAGCACTCAGGCACAGAGTAGTTGGGCCAGAACTAAGGGTCACTAGGGCTGGCCTAAAGGTATACAGAGGTTGGAAAGGACCTCTGGAAGTCATCTTGTCCAAATCCCTACTCAAAGCAGATCTCGTCAGAACAGCTTGCCTAGGTACCTGTGTAGTCAAGTCTTGAATAGCTCTAAGGAGGAAGATTCCAACATCTTTTGGTTATCCTTATGATTTAAAAAAAAATAAATACATTTCCCTCATACCCATTCAGCATTTCCCATGTTCCAACTTGTGTCTGTTGCCTCTTATCCTAATGCTGTGCACTTCCAAGGAGAGTCTGCCTCTGGCTTCTTTCTGTTTTCCTCCAGTCAGCCAGTTGTAGACAGAAATAAGGTATCCTCTTCTTAAAAGTGAACATACCCAGCTCGCTCAGCCTCTCCTCACATGCCATGTGCTCATACCCCTCAGTTTAGTGGCCCTCCACTAGTTTCATTCCAGTACACCAATGTCTTTCTTGAAATGGAAGCAGGAAGTGGACACTGTTACATCACAATGCAGGCTAGCAAGCAGTGCTGAATAGAGAGGAAAGATCACCTCCCTGCACCTAGTGACGTGTGGAAAGACAACTTTACAACCAGTGAAGCTATAAAGTAGGTATGTTTATTCAGCGCTGGATGCATGGGGGATCGCTCCTCCACAGCATGTGTGCCCTGGAGCCAAAAGTGGCCCCCTTTTATGATGCCAAAGTTACATATTCATCAGTCCTAATACATATGCATTATAATTCCAGGAATAGGGAGGGAATATTACAATTAATTCTGAGAAATCTTTAACATATTCCCCGCCCCAAGTCCCTCCCCATCGCGCCTGTGCAATGTCTCTTGGTGGTCGTGGGCAGGGGTCTTCTGATGAAGGCTCGTAGTCTTCTTCACTGTGTTCACTAGTTGACCCTTGCTTTTGCGCAGACTCAGTCCTGTAGTTAAGCACATCTCGTCCTTCAGTTGGATGTGGTTTGTTGCTAACTTGTAGCTCCTTTATCTTGGTGGCTCAGTAGTCCCTTCCTTATCTCAAGGACAACAGTGGGCTCATCCTGTTTTTCTCTTATTAATTTGCAAGGGAGTTATCTAGTTAATGTTTTCTTGAGAAACCATCTGGTTAATGCCTCCTCATTCATACATCACTAGTGGCTACACTCTTGCTAATACAGCCTAGGATGCAGCTGGCTTTCTTTGTTGCAAGGACATGCTGCCAAATTCTGTCCAACTAGTTGTTTGTGAGGACTCCAAGATCCTTTTCCATACAGCTACTTCCTTGAGTGTGTGTGCTCTGGGCCTGTATTGTTGCATAGGGTTATTCCATTCCTGATCCAATCCTGATGCAAGTTCCTGTCACACACAGGAGAAGCTACGAAGGGCTGCATCCCATGGGAGGGACTCAAACTGGATAAAAGCTGTGGAGGACTGTCTCCTGTGAAAAGGGGACCATGCTGGAGCAGCGGGAAGAAGTTCTAGAAACTCCGCCTCTGAAGACGGAAGAAGCAGCAGCACTGACTGCACCCCCCATTCCCTGCCCTGCACCTCTGGGGGGAGGAGGTAGAGATACTGGGAGCAAAGCTGAGCCCAGAAAGAAGGGAGGGGTGGGGGGAAGGTGTTTTCAAGATGTGGTAATGCTTCTCACTGTCCTACTATGTCTGATAAGTGTTGTTAGTGTCTGTAATAAATTTATGTTCTTTTTTTTCCTTCCCCTAATGAGTCTGACTTTTGCCTGCAACCAAAATCATTCCTCCCTGTCCTATCTCAAATCCCAAATCTCGACTTATTTTCTCCTTCTCAGTGCTGGGAGGGAAGAGTGGAGTGAGCATCTGTGTGGTACTCAGTTGCACTCTGAGCTCAAACCACAACATTTCACTTCTCAGTTAATATCAGAAAGCCCAGTGGCCAAAAATAGATATCAAATTAAGACATCCCAGTACAGGAAGCTGAACTCTTATTGGTTAACTGACTACATCACAGTGAAATAAATGGACTATTTAGTGTTTGATTCACCACATCATGTGTAAAGGGGCTGAGTTAAGTCCTACTATAGGTGTGCTTCTGGCTCTCCAGTAGCGATTTCTGAAGAAAGAAGAGAGAAATCTCATAGCACACTTGGTAGGGTGGGGGGTGAAGGCATCAAAGTTAAAAAGTGACAGCAACATGTCTGCAAAAGAGATCTCAAGTAAATGTAAAGAACTGATGTATAAATAGGAGCCTTTTCACCCTGTAGTCACTTCCTATGTATTCCCCATTGATGAAGAAGAAACTGCTGGAGACATTCTCAAGTACTTCCCCAAGAGATCTCCAGAATACTGCAAGCAAAAATGCTCAATGTGAGAATTAAGCTTTAGCATTAAGGCAGTAGAACAAATTAATATCTCACAACAGCCTTATAAGCACTGCTCTTGCTTTGATGATATGACCTTCTCTGTGTGCTGTGGTCTGTTGACCAGGTCCATGTGTGGGCAGTGGAAAGCTTCTTCCCCCTCTCTATCCCCATATATGCATACATTTCTGCTGCCAAAATGCATTCTGTGCCTTGAGATTTACCAGTGGAGTCCAGTGGTTGGCTGCCCCTTTGGTAAGAGATGACAAGTCTGAAGAACGCAGAATTAATGTCCACTTTCTCCTCCATGGCAGGCTAATTTCTTCTTTCTGTGCACCAGTTTCCCATCTGGGGCAGTGAGAAAAAGACAAAGCTAGCATGGCTGGCACAGCGCTGCATGGCTATCCCACTGACATCACACGCAGCAACACTCACCGGGTAATGAGCCAATGTGACTAATGAAGCAGATAGTACTGAGCTTCACTTTTGGTGCTTTCTTAGTGTCCTCTGTGGGTATCTTTCCTTCTAATTATTCTTTCTTGCATTTCCTGTCTATAGACAAAGGGTATTTGGTTTCGGTTTGTTTTGTTTTGCCTTTTTTACACTGTGGGTGTTTCAGTTGTAAGCTGGGCATTTCCTTCAGTGCAGGAAGCACCTATGGAACCAGTGCGGATCAGAGACCTGATGTTTGGGAGGGGCACAATCAACCCTACACCCATAACGAAGCCAACCCCTTAATACCAACTCCTCATAGCTGTATGCCTGGCCACTATCCCAGACTATGAACTGGGAGAGCAGTAACATCATGCGCTTTCAGCAGGCACAGCCACTGCCGTCTTACTTTGTTCAGCTAAGCCAGTTCTAGAGTTGCACTCCTTGATCCAGTGGCTCTCCAGGGATTCCCAAGAGACTCCTTGCTTCAGTAACTGGCTGAAGCACCGTGATCTTGGTGCAGTGTCTACGCCTCTGACAGTCTGTCCATTTGATTTCTCCCAGGTGAAGCCAGCAGAGAGACCAGAACCAGGAAACCACACTCTGCTGGCTGAGTTTGTCCTTTCTGGAATGTCCAACCACCCAGAACTGCAGCACTTGCTGTTCTTCACATTCTGCTTAATTTACACCATCACCATCATTGGGAACCTTACCATCATCATGGTCACAGTGCACCCCACCCTCCGCATGCCCATGTATTTCTTCCTCTGGGTCCTGTCAGTCTTGGACATTTCCACAGCATCAATCGTTGTTTCTAAGCTTTCCCTTGGGCTAGATTGTGACTTTCCCTACAAGCCCAGTTAGGAAAATTAAAAAACCTATAAAACCCCTCACAGTTCTGTGGTCTTTGGAATGAACACATACTGATTCAAATACTGGTATTGAGAAGAATATCACCGCAGCTGTTTAAAAAGTCTGCTCTGTTTTCTACAGGATCATATAAAATCCACTGCAAGCAAGAAAAGGACAAACTAAGTGAATTTCCATGGCACTTAGAGCTGTGTTCATGAATCTCATGCATTCCCTTTTCTTAGGCAACTACAGTGTAGGCATCTAAACATGATGTGGTGAGCTCCCTTTACAGTCAATGAGGGGCTGAGGAAAAAGAGGCATATTGGGATATGGTCTTTCCAGAGGGCACTTTTTTCCCCTATGTGAGAGGATTCTCTTCTTTGACTGACCATGTCTCTGGGGGAGCCTGTTCATTTGTGCTGTGTCTAGAAAGACCATAGATGGTAGCCTCTATCAGTAAGCATATTGAAGCTCCTCCATAGCTTCCAGATGCTTGCAGAAAAGACTCAGACCTACAGGCAGAAGGTGCACACAGGAAGTGTAAAGGCAGTCCTAGGGACTCATGATGCATCTGCCAAGCTACTGTTGTTTGTAGCTCTCACTTCTGGGCAAGGTTAAAATCCGTTCTTGACCAACATGGACAAGCTGCACAGTCAGGCAGAGAAAAGGGTGCCTGTTCTCCACTGCTAGTTTGGACCTTGTCCTTCCCTTTACTTCCTGATCATCCACAGTGCCCCCATGCTAGTTCTCCCACTCTCTCTGGGCTGAGTCACCTGTCCTGCAGGAAAGGAAAGAGATCCTGAAGGCTTGCCTCATGCAGGAGCTGTAGGCCTTCAGGTGCAAAAGGTCTAAGTAGCAGTCTCTGGGAACTCCATCCTGAGTTCAAGTACCACTCCTGAAATGACCATGGACCGAGGAGTTAAGATATGTAGACACATGCATACACGCACCTACATACTGAAACATATGTTATCGACAACACTCCTGAGTGATACAGTCAGAGATTTCTGAATCCCAGCTGGGGCCCACACCATCACATTTTAGTCATTGAAGGTGGATCTTATAGACAAAGAAGTCAGAGAAGAGAACTCCATCTTCCTAAGGATGGAATAATTCGCCCATAGTATTATGTTAACTTTGGAAGGACCCTGGAAAATCAGATGAAACTTTATTTTCTTAATTTTATATGGTTTACCTAGGTGACGTTATTCCTGTACCCATACACTGAACTCTGAATGAAACTCAGGGGATCATTTGCATAGCATATCCATGGGGTGAGTTGTCAGACCTAAAGAGTTGTTTCCAAAGGTTGTATCAAATTCTGAAAAAGAGTATGAGCTCAAACATTAGCATGAAAATATAAAACACTGATGCCATAACCAAGGCTCTTGCTTACTTTTTTTTTCCTGTTACGGTATTATAATTTTATGTTATGGAAATGTCTAAAGATCAAATTACTCCCCTTTGATCAGCCTTTCACTCTGGTCAGCCCCCTGCAAACAGAAAAGAGAAATGAAGTTTCTTTCCCAAGCAGCTGAGTAGAAAACCAAAGGCAGAGGATGATGATGTATGGAACAACATAAGGAGATCAAAACTGTCCCCAGGACATCCTGAGAACCCCTAAGATCCCTTCCGCTGAAGCAGACATGGAGACAGAAGAAATTTCTTGGAAGAACTTGATAAAAACAAAGGGTTCTCTGTGTGGACTTAGGACATGGGCATGACTATGATTGAAATGGAGACTGGGACTGCCAGAATGTAGGTCAGGTAGGGACGGAATGCCCAGACCTGTGCTTAAAGAAGACTCCTGCATCCGTGTTCAAAGGGTGTGGGGTGGTGTCCCCAGGTGAGACTGGTGAGGGACATAAGGGCTTATTAGTGTGCTGAGTGTCCTGACAGTTTGTTAACACACACATTGGAAAACAGTTCAGTGGGGCAGGAACTTCCAGCTTCTGCCATTCAAAACATTTTCTTGCAGAAATCACTCATCTCCGTGTACCTCTGTAAATTAAATGACAGGCACTATGACAGGAACTTTCTGTGTGGTGATGTGTCATCTGCTCTGAAGGTTAGACATCTCTGTCTGAGGTATATATAGTATTTATTTTAATTTCCTGTAGAAGTCTAAAGAGTTTATTAACATGTCTGTGTCATCCAACTTGGATTTTACCACATCTCATTTCAAATGGATCAAATGTGGTTACTTCCAACCTATTCAGTCAAAGAGATGTTGTATGTAGTCAGGGCAGAGAAGCAGGCATTGTCAGTCTTTATACATTTAGATGAGGTGAATTCCACTTAATCCATCCCCATGCATCATCTTATTCCCCACCCCCCTCCCCCCATTCCCCAGGGTATTGGGAACTCGGCTAAGAAGTCATTCACAGGCACTCACTGCTTTGTAGCTCTGAATTTCAAAATATCATCAGAGTCTACAAAACACCTTGCTACCAGATCTTTCAAGGCCTGTTTGACTTGTTCATTTTTAAGGGTGTAGATGTAAGGGTTACACAGCTGAGTAATCACACAGAAAAAGAAAGACACAACTTTGTCAAAATCCCTTCCACCCCTCTGGCTTGGTCTGATGTACCTGAAGATGGAGCTGCTGTACAGAATAGTGACCACAATGAGATGAGCAGAGCATGTAGAAAAGGCTTTTTTCCGGCTTGCTGAAGACTGGATGTGTATGACAGTGTAAATGATGTAGGCATAGGAAAAGGCAGTTACTGATAAGGTCCCAGGTAATATTAGAACACTTGTCACTAGCATTACTTTCTCAATGAGGCCTGTGTCCATGCAGGAGAGCTGGAGCAGTGGTGCTATATCACAATAGAAGTGGTTGATGACGTTGGGCCCGCAGAATGGCAAATGGAATATAATTATGAGTGGGGAGAACATCAAGAAGAAACTTGCCACCCAGCAGCCCAGCACCAGTTGGAGACAAAACCTATTGTTCATGAAGGTAGCATAATGCAGAGGGCGGCAGATGGCCATGTAGCGGTCAAAGGACATGAGAGCTACATGGAAGAAAGTACAGATACCAAGGATGAAGAACAGGGATAACTGAAGGAAACATCCAGAGAAGGAAATTGTTTTTACTCCTGTGAGGAGACTGTAAAGTGTCCTTGGCATGAATGTAGAAGTGAAGCAGATTTCCACAAGGGAGAAATTCCTGAGAAAGAAATACATGGGGATGTGGAGGTGTTGATCCACCAGTGTGATGGTGATGACAACGATGTTTCCCAGGAGGATCAGGAGGAAGGCAACAAAGAGAATGGCAAATAAGATGATCTCCAAAAAGTGATTGCTAGTGAGCCCTAAGAGAATGAACTCCACTGTTGTCTGATTCATCTCTGAAAGCTGAAAAAATAGTTAAAAGGAGATGTTAAAGTTGTTCCAAGAAGAAGAAATGAAAGTCTAAATAGGTGGTACATGTGGTGGTCCTAACTGGAAGACTACTGTAAGTCAAATACTGAGTGCTCTACATAACCTGAGTACATGACTCTGCATGACCTGAATAGGCACCTGCCTGCGCTGCACATATCACTTGGCCACACAACAAACTTAGTTGGCAAATCATAACAAAGCAGCCTTTAGGCACCTTCCACTTGGCACCAGCGATGATGCCACCAGCATGTTCTTGTCTCCATCTTAAAGAGAAACAGCACGTTCTCATGTGGACATCCTTTTGCTGGACAGTAGAAATCATTAATAGCATTTGTTAATTCTTCAGAAAATCTGGTAAGACCTCTAAATACCATAATGTATGGGAGTTACTCCACAGACAGGATCAGTGCAATGGGCTGTGCCTTGGCTAGAAATCCACCCAATGCTTTACAACTATGGGTTCCCAGCATCTGAAGGATCATAACATTGTCTATACTATTCTCTTTCCCTTTTCATATTAGCTCCAAAAAATGGTATTTTAATTAATACCTTACATAATCTGAGTACCTTTCTTACTAGTATCCATTACAAACCCCAGAACTCATGCATTATAGTACCTTTGAGGGCAGATTCCAAATGAGACAGTGTACCCTTTTCCATAGAAATGTGATTCATCTCACCCGACTCCAGATTGCTACTTGCCTAAGTACCAGTGCATTCCTCAGTACTTGTTGCATTGTCAAAGGCAGAGATTCAATACCTCCAGAGACTTTCTGCTGATGTTGAGTATCTAGAGTTCCAGTATGTGTTTACTCTTGAAGATACTGACTCTAGATATTGAGAAGAGATTCAGATCCTCCCCTGTCTTATTTATAGTACCACAGGTCAGGATCTGTAAGCATATCTTAACATTTCTGACCAATTTCTGTTTTACAAGCTGGCTTCCTGACTTAGCAGAAAAATAGAAGCTTTAGTGATCTACTTATTAATCACATTTTCCTATATTCATGGCAACATTAAAACAATAACTTCCCAAATTCCTGTGGGTTACCTGTCTGTATCAGTTACCAGGTGGCAGTGAGGTAGCAAGGTCTCTTCATCATGTTTTAGAAATGTAATGAACAGTAGAACTCCTGTCCACAAAGCAAAATATGGCATTCTCTGATAAAATATTAATAAATTATTTTATTTACTATTTTTTTGTTCATTAATTCTGCTTAATAAATATTCATAGGGAAAAACAAACAAACAAAAAAGCAACAGTAATCTGTTGAGGAAATATCAAGGATTTCATAAGCAGCCTGCAAATCATCCCAGTATAATATTATCTCAAGCCTTCAAACTTCCATTAGTATGCTCATAGCCACTAATTCACAATCACTATATGTGCCTTCTGAACCTTATTAGGGCTTTATTTTAGTATGAGATGAACACTGTGGTGAAATTTCACTCCATTAACTGGAAAGGTCACCTGCCCATTGATGATGTCTCTCTTGTCTTCAGTCATCCCAGAGGAACACCAACAACTGAAGCACAGCCATCTATCCTACAAATTATGTTGTGTCTCACATTACCTGTTTCTGACATGGAATACATTAGTTAAGCCTTCTTTCTCTAGATCCATATTTTATACTTCCAGTTAGTCCTATGTTTCACTTCTGTCTTCCAGCATAGGGAATAATTAGGCACTGAACTTTGCTCATGACACTGCTGGGACACACCACTTTCATGGGCAGGTTTTGGGGACAGCTGGTTCATAGAATTATGGAATAAGAGTAACAGAACATTTGAGTTTGGAAGGGACCTCTCATCTGGACCAGCGCTTCTGATCAAGCAGGTCACCTAGAACATGTTGCCTAGGACCAAGTCCACTTGTGTTTTGAATATCTCCAAGCAGAGACACTCTACTGCCCCACTTAGAAACCTGTTCCAGTGCTCAAGTCACCTTCAGAATAAAAGAGGTGCTTTTGTTCAGACAGAATTTCCTGGGTTTCTATTTGTGTCCTCTGTCTTTGGTCCTGTCACTAGGCACCACTGCAAAAAGACTGGATCTGTCCCCTTTGCACCTTCCCTTCAGATATTTATGTACATTGATAAGATCATCTCTGAGCCTAGATGTCACAATAATACAGCATAGTTCTATTCTGAGCATCAGGAGATGCAAACCTATCTGCAACATTTCCCTGTTGGGCAGCTACTGTCTTTATTTGATTCAGTTGAAAAAAAAAATCGAATTTCTTAAAAGGAAAACCAATATGCAGAATAAACCAGGACTTTTTTCTTTTCCCCTACAAACTGGTAATTTATTCCCAAAACAGAATTTCAGAGAACTGTAGAGACCAGAACTTTCTGCACACTTCCACTGCCTTTGGTGAATGCTGTGCAGGGATTCTGTAATTTTTTTCCCATCACAGTTATCTCCTTAGTGTCAGTGAAGAATTGCATTCTAAATCCTTATAAACATATTCCTATTTTCTGCTTGCAAATTGCATTTTTTTTCCACAGGTCCAAAAACAAAATCCACTTTTGGTATGAAAAGCTGTTTTGTAACAATCCACAGCTAATACTGTATAGAGATTTCTTTGTTTTCATTTTCTGTAAAAACAGTATTTTTGCAGAAGTACGGGGGTAAAGAAGAGAAGGCAATCTGCTTTTGATTCAGACCCAACCTTTCCCTTTCACCTCAGAAATCTCCCTAGTGTAAGACTCAGATCAAGCTCTGGTAAAAATCTGAAAGACAGAAATGCTGTAAAACAACTATCATTGGTGCAGCATAGACTGTCTTCCTTCAGACCTGTCCCAACATGTGGGTAAGGTCTCGGAAGCTTTCTCCATTAAGTAAAATAGATTACAAGTGATAAGCAAGCATTACTGGGTTATTTTCTCTTTTCTAGTGATACTCTTCCCTCTGTATATACACTGTCACTGGTAGTGTGTGGAATTAGTTCTTTTCAGTATTTTTGTCAGAAAGAGCAAATGCCTCCATCAACCTGCTGTTTGTGTGATCCAACTTCACAAAATCTCCTAGATGTCATTGTCAAGTTACAAGATATGACAGTGTAGCTCTACTTAGAAAAGCAGGGGATGCAAACTCACCTCCAACAGAAGACTCCAGCAACCTTTCCTTATAAGATTCCTGATGTCTGTATTAAGGCAAGTGCTGGGATTCAAGAAGAAAACAAAATCTCAAATAACCCTGAGCTTCTGGTCATTCAAAAAAGAATAAAATAATTAGCAGGGTTGAAATTCTGTCACCACAGGGTTAATTAAAAAGTTCTTGTAGTTCTTGGAGTGCTTCACTTAATTTATGTGGATCAGGACTATGCACGGATGCAGGAACTTCATGATAAGTAGAGCAGGACTAAAGTGGGGTTTTTCTATATAGTAGCTGAGACTGCTTATATTGTAAGCAGAGCACAGCCCCATGACTTGAGGTAGGTGATACTTAGTCAAGTCTTAACTAGTTAGGTTACTCTGTGCACAATGGAGAGAAGTGGACAACATTGGTGGGCAGCTTACTCAGGATGAACCTACCTTTGTGATGTGTTTATCCCACTTCAGGAGCGCCTCAAGGGTTGCTGCTCTCTAGGGTATCTCAGATGACTGCACTGGGCTGGCAGACATGGCATGGGGCCATCCAGAGACATACAATCAGCTGAGGCCATGGTTGGTGGCCAGGTCTGTGTCCCAGAACACAAGGAAGGCAGTAGCTGCCTAGGCTGAGGATACTGAATTGTATTCTTAAGATCATCCCTTGGTACTGCCAGAGATCTCATCATAGGAGTAGCAGGCAGGAGTCCTCTCTTCCTGAAGCAATGATCTAAGGGAGACTCAGAACTGGAAGGTCCCCAGACACCCTATTTCTCCAGACTGATTTAAAGGCATTATGATGACAAGCTCAGATGTAAACAAGTGTTCCGCAGATATATGAAAACAGAGGATACAACTTCATCCCAGGTGACTGGCTTAAGCAAAACACGTTCCATCAAATAAACAAGTGATTGAAATTCAGCGCTGGGGTTCAGAACCAGCAACATTATTCTAGGTCGAGGTGTGCAAGGACCACAGATGACCTGGGGAATTTGGAGGAGGAATGTGTTCCTTTAAAACAAATGAGTTGCACGGGTGCTCCCCATTTGTTAAAGGGTTCATGATGTGGGGTCCCAGAATACCCCCTCTTCTTTGGTATAGAGTCTGGAACTCGGTGGAGTGATTAAATCATTGATTTTTGAGAGGGTCTTGCCTCTGGGCTGTCTCTGATGGCTGTTCTGTATACAGGCATCTCCACTCCCCCAGCCCACTGGCCTCCACCACATTGACCCAGTGACCAGATGAGTCTGTGAATTGTTACAGGCAACTATTTATTAGCAGAGTTTCTCAAGCCATGGCCACAGCCCCTTGAAATGAACAACATGACCAGGATAACAAAATGTGACAGAAAGCAGCCTGAGGCCAGTAGTGGTCAACATGCTGAGGAAAGAAAAGTGAAAGAGGCTGAAACACACCTCCCTTCAGAGATAAAGGGTCACAGGACCCATGGTCCTGCTTCAGCCACTGGCACTGAGCTCCTCATCCACTTCGTTCATGATGGTCCCTCCTGTAAGGGTATTGGATCAATTGGGATACAAAAATCTTAACAGAACATTAGAAGGATAGTAATGGGTATAAACAGCTCCAATAGTAGGATTAGTGACTGGGCTTTGTAGTGTGAAAGGTGAAAAGAAACGCTTGTCAAAGTATGCACAAGACCTTCAGTAAGTAAACGATCATTCCCTTCTGTCTAATCAATAATGATATTGGCTATAAAGCAATGATTCACTGGAGATGAAGGAGTATGGGAAAGGAAATGCTGACCTTAATTAGGGAAATAACAATGTCTTACAATTTGTGAAAGAATGTGTAATGTGGACTAATGTTACAAAGGGTGCAGGACTACCACTGGTGTCCTTTTGTGTCTGTACACATGTGTCCGTATGTCTCTAGGATACACACCAAGCCTCACTACTGGTTGAGCCTGCAAACAGGAAAGGAGCAGCCATGGCAATTGCCCTGGGATGGAGAACCTGTATCTCTAGGCTTGGCTCTAGCAGCTGGACAGGAGGAATCACCAGCCTGTGGAACTGCCGGAGGTAGTGGCTGGCTGCTTGTAACATCCCTTAACATGCATTAATCCAGTTGATGAAGATGATAGCAGGATTAAAATAGAAGTGACCAATAGAATTGTTAAAAGGAAAGCCTGGAGTTCCCACAAGCCTATGAATTGCAGAAGGATTAATACCCTCAGGGTGTTCTGGTTTTCCATCTTCATAGTTTTTCTGGGGAAACATTGTAAATGGCATAAACAGGGCCACTAAAACCAAATCTGGTAAGTCTATGCTGATGTCTCTGAACAGGTCTGTCCATCCACATGAGTCTGATTCCCTGCTTGTTCCTATAAGAGCTTTCCATCTGTTTTACCAATACTTTAAAAGAACATTATTATTTCAAATTATTATTCCTCAAACTAAAAATAACCATACCAATTCCTCCATCCCTTTACTTTCCTATGCTGCAAACAGTACATACTCTTGTCTATAAACCCACACTTACTCTACGTTATTTATCTGTATATTTAGGAACACCCTCTTAAAATACCTTATTTTATTACATGGTGAGAGGTGAAGTCTAAGGTCAGAATTTTCAGCAATGTCTAAGTTTCTAATACATATGGTAAGTAGACACATTCAATGACCCTTCATGGTTTTTACCTACTGAGTGGGACATTGACAAGGATAGGAATGCATATTAAAATCCTTAGGGAGGTATAAAAACTCTAGCCATAATTTTAAAGAGTTTTTTGTTGTTTCTTTTTTTTTTTTTTTTCTTCTCAAAGTAATTCAAATCTACTTGAGAATAAATGGCCAAATTTCTACCTAAAATTATATCCTTATGAGAACTCATTTTGCCAGTAAATATCAGCTGAGTTTTTCATTCAAAGGTGAACTGACAAGAGAGACTAAGGTGACTATCTAAATGAGGATAACTA